CCGCGGCGGCGGAGAGGCGCTGGGGCGTCCCGGTCTCCGGCGCGGGCAGGGAGCGGGGGGTGGCTCCGGGCCGAGGTTTGCAAAGGCCGGCTGGGGACGAGCGTTGGCGCTCGGCAGACCCGCGGTGATGTGCTGCGGACCGGCGGCACCGAGGTGTTCTCGGTGGAGGGAACGTGTTCCTGCGGCCGCAGAAACTTGCGGAGGTACCGGCAGCAGTTAAGCGTGCGAGGAAGCGGTTTTTTTAATGTATTTTTTCCTGTCTCTTTTTTTTCCTCTTCTTTTTGTGCTTTTTACCAGTGCCCGCGGCAATTACTTTTTTTGCCGCCACAACGTTAAGGTTTTTGCTCGAAAAAATGTATGTTCTATAAAGCAATCTCTTGTGCCTTTCAGTCTACAGAACTCGTGGACAAATGCGTAGGTCCACGCATTCATATTGTGATGAAGAGTGATCAGAAATTGTTGGAACACTTCTAGGATTTGATGACTTTGTCCGTATCCTTTGATGGAGGTGTTTAAGGCCGTCCAGTTTATGCTCCAGCTCAATTATGTTACTGCTTTTGAGAGGTTTGAGTTCACCGGATAGGAGAGCCTTTTTTTGTATGGATCAGTTGTATTATTCTGATTTTTTATTTTACAGGTAAAATCACAGCTCAGTGTGACATGGAAATAACTTTAAATAGTTTTATTTTAAAATTCAGGGCCTTATTTTCCTTGAAACTGTTTTTTCAGATATGGTGTTAGAAGACGTTACAGAATTGTAAGTATTGTTTCTGCCTCCTGTTCCTATTTAACATTTGGTTTCCTGAGGAAAAATACTGTGTAAGCTCTGTAAGCAAAGTGTTTTTATATTTTTGGAATACTTGCCAGCTGAATGGTTTGTACCTTGGACTTAAACTATAGAGGGTGATCTATTCAGGACATCCATGTCATAGAGTAGCTGTTGCATGATTTATACTTGTAATCAGGTTCCTACTTTATAGCCTTAACTTTGCGTGGATTGTGTATTGAACTTTCCAGTAGTTTGTTTATTTTTACATTTCCTTAAGGTCTAGGCAAATATTTAGAAAGTTAGCAGACTTAAGGATAAGTATTTATTACTTTGTCATGCCACGTTGCTATTTGAAACCTGTTCTGAGTATTGGTGGTATTCAAGAAATTGCTAAGATTTAGAGGGTGAATCTGTATCTTTACGTGTACTGAGCAGAAAAGTACAATGGATCTTTTTAGTTGCCAGATAGCTTTCTTTATCCAGGTGGTCAATTTATTAAGATCAGGCTGCAGTGTGGCCAATTTATTTCTTAGTTCCAACAACTGCCATCTTAATGTAGAGATTTATGTCAGTTCTGTAATCAAAACTGGAATCATTGTCCCTGGTTATGTATTCTCACTTATTTTATTTAATGCTGCTTCAGTGAGATTCCATCCGAGGGCAGAAGAATCACAAAGCTAGACCAGATTTTGCTAAATGGAAATAACATAACAATGGTAAGTCATCATTGTTAAAATGCTGCATGCGTTTATTTTCTGTACCTGTAAATCAATCAGTAACTGAGCTCAACTACTTTGAGCTGAGCTTTCCAGACAATTCCATTACACAAGGTAATTTCAAGTGGCTTCTGGGGCATATGTGTGTATGAATGATGCTGGAAAAGTGATCTTGCTGTCTTAGTACATGTTACAGTTTAAAAAAAAAAAAAAAAAAGAGCATGTCCCTAACTTTATTTTGGTGAATGTTTTTCTGGTCTTCAGGTGTGCAAGGGAATCACTGGCTTTGTTAAGCACTCCGTAAGCTGGTTCATACAGTGGCTTTTAACTCATGAGTGTTTGCCTGCATAAGCGTGTAGGTGGAATGCATCTACATTTTATCCATTATTGTATGTATAGATGTGTTTGCAGCAGTTTGGATGTTTACAAGCTTGTCAAGTCATTTGGCAGTTATGATTACCATGTGATGCCCAGAGAGCTGTACCTTTATGTGCTCTGAAAAAAATGTGGAGGTCTGTTGGCTTATACCAAATCAGAAGCACTATGATTTTTAGTTTATTATCTGCTGGTGTATGTAGGTCAGTACTGAAACAGTAATTAAATACTGTGATTATGCATCCCTAAGCTGAATTCTGCAACTTCCTAAATACCACAAAAGCAGACCTAGAATAGTTTTTTGTTTGTCGGCATAGATGGCTACAAAGTTGGGACTTCCTACGTAAAAGCATTCCTAATTTTGTGGGAAGAGGAGAGGAAGACCAACTTGAGTCGAAATCAGCTCTGTGTGAACGAGGAACAATCTCCATTTTGCTGTCTTACCCACCTTGCACCTCCTCACTGTGTGTCTGAGCAAGTACCATCTTGACTTAATTTCTAAGCCTTTTTCTGCTTTGGTTATTGTTCTGCCTCCTTAAAGGATAGTGCATGTTCTGACTTCTTGTATGGGGTAAAATTACTACCATCCAGTTAAGCTGGTGGTATACTGCCCTTGAAGCACAAGCTGGTGATGCTTAGAGTGCAAATTTTCAGCAAGACGTAGATACGTTTCTGTATCAGATCTTGTGCCTCTCTTGCGGACACATCTTCCCGTGTCAGGAAGACTACGCTTTAGACTTTTTCATACGTCGGTCCCGAAAGCAGCGAAGTTCTTCCTCTTTAGAAGTGCTCAGCTAATTATTAAGAATGTATCAGTAAAAGCAATGGCTATCCTTTTCTTTTTTTCCCTTATTCATGTTTTTCCTTTTGTATTTCTTTTTCTGTTGTTCAGTTCTTTACTTTCTTCCCTGGAAAATTACTCCCTGCTGCCTGTAGAAGGGTTCAGGCTCTTTATCAGTTTTTGAGTTCTACCTAATGATAGAAGTTGGAAAGAGGAAACCAACTTGCCAGTATAGTGACAGTCTGGGGAGAAATCAGCAATTGGAGAAATTATTCACGAAAGGAAGGATGTTTTTTGTCCTTTTAAAAATGAGCTGTAGTGTTTCTAGACAGAATCATTTCCTTGAGGTGAATACCAAAGACAAAAAACGTTTGTTATCTAGGAACAACTTTGTGTTTTGTTAAACATTCTTTGTGTTTTGGAGATTCTGTCCTGTGCTTCTCTGGCAATAACTGGCTTCCTCTGTTGGGAGAGGAAGATAATATTGAATCGAAAAAACGCTTTTGTGGTCTACCAGTGAAGTCTCCATCTGCTAAATTGTTGTAAAGCAAGAACTGTCATGTATGGGTTTGTAAAACTCAGATCTATGGCACAAACACAAAATTGTCATTGTCTTTTATAGGTGGTTCCTGGAGGAGAAGGGCCTGAAGTATAAATTGATACAGTTGTCATCTGTGAAGACATGGTTTTTATATATATGTATATGTGTGTGTGTGTATGTAATCTAAACAGAGCTTTTGGGGTAATGGTGTGGGTTGTTTGTTTGTTTGTTTTGTTTACAGACTCTTGGAATTGACATTTGATAAAAGAGAAGGATTTCCCCTTCAGGAAAGGTGCATCACTAATGATAATGCTGATTTTGTAAGTTGAAACCATTACTTTCCTGTAAAGACACACTAATTTGTTCTGAATAAAAGCCTTTCTTTTTGTTCTCTTTGTGTTCTGTTACGTAAGTGCACGAGTGAGTTAGTTTTCCAACTGGTTGATGGAGTGGAAAAATAATAGTTACATTCCATTTGCTGTCAGTCTTCAGTTTTTCTACATCTATTGCATTTGTTTATGGCCCAAGTCTATATAAAACCCAAATCGCGAGCCAAGAGATTGCTATTCTTTGCACTACAGGCAGATACTAAGCTGGATCATTTGTTTAAACACTGCTTCAGGCTGTGTCACCAGAAACCATGTGGTAGAGTGCTGTAGAATTCTGAAAGATCTTCAAAGTGCATGCATCTGTTTGATGCTCAGCAGCCGTTGGTTCTGCTGGCCTTGAGGTTCAGCACTCTTGGACTTGTTTTGCTTGGCAGATGTACTCTCTTATAGTAAAGGCATTGTAGTGGTATTTGGCGAGTGAGGACAGACAGACCAGACATCGTTCACGTCCAGGGGGCCGGGGCGGGAAGGTTGGTGTTCAAACTTCTCATTCCTGTCAGCGGTGACTCCGCTTGCACCACTAAGTGGTGCTGTGTACATATACTTAATTAAATTGGGAGCTGCCTGTGCCTGCCTGCTTGTGTAGTTCGGAGTAGTCATTTTAAAGAAAATGTTCTTTTGGCTGCATTTGTTCTGCTGTGATACAAAAACTTGACAGCTATTGGGGGCAACTACTACTTTAGGAGAATTTCTATAAAGTAAGAAATTGCTGGTTTTATTTTGTCATGATGGACAAAAAAATAACTGATTCTAAATCATGTCCACTGCAGCTTATGCTTCCATAACACACCACTCAACTGATTTCTATGTGTAAATGTCTTTGGAGAGGAATCACAGGTGCCTGCTGTTACTATAGGGACAAGCAGTATGGGCTCACAGGAACAGAACATGCTTTGCCTTCCCATCACCAGAAGAAGAAAGAAGGAGTTGAAGAAGGGCGCTCAGGAGCAAGAGGCTGCAAGGAAGTTGCTGTACATGATCCTTTTGCCTTGCTTTATCTGACAGAAAAGCTGCCTTCTGCTAGTTGGGCCTTGGCTTGAAATACAAGGGGAAAGAGACTCCCGCCCCTCTCCCAGGGAGTGTGCTACTTTTGACTCACTTCTTCTGACTATGTGATCTGCAATTACATATTTAGATTGCATGGTGACAGTCTATACCACTGACTCCCTGAATGGTTTTTCATTTCTGTCCCCACTTCCTTCTCCAGCTTTTTTCAATATATCAATTTAAAAAAAAAAATAAAATTTTAACCTTACATGAACATCATCTGTTGGCTTTGGCCCCAAACACTTTATTTCCTAGAAATAAGTTGAGTCTTTTCATCAGAATATGTAAAAGATTTCTAGCCACTGTAGTACTATTGTATTGTTTGTTTTTTTAAATAAGTTTCTATCCAGGTTCCAGTGTGCGCACTAAAGTTCTACTGCAGTAGAAGACAGTCTTAAGCTGAAGAGAGATTTCATGCTTGGGAGAGAAAACGAGCAGATCTTGACTCAAAAGTAACTTTTCTAAGGGAAAGGTAAACTCTTTTGTTTCTTTGGGGATTTTTATTCTGATAGCACAAACATCTTGTTTTCTCAGGATTTTGTTATCTCTGGAAAAAAACCGTGGTGTTGTGTCACTTCCTCCTTCCCTGGTTGTGGTTTTTTCACTCCTTTTGGAGGAAGTGCTAAAACTGTTATATTTTAGGAAGACATTTTAACTTATGACTCGGAGGTCTGCAGGCATCACTGTAAAGACAGTTTCTGTGCATCCAAATGCTGTTAATCCGTTAAAATATGAAATGAAAGATGTGTAACTTGGAGCTGAGACGTCAAAGTATTCCAGATGGGTCTGGAATACTTTGCATTCAGTATTCCTGTAGCCTGTTGCTTTGGAAGTGCAGGTGTGATAAGCTTTTCAATTGAATAAATGAGTGGTAGTGGTTTTTTGTTTTCCTCCCCTAGAAATGTAGTGCTTAATCATACTGCACTGACCTGTAGAAGTTGTGGACACTGTGGTGTTCTCCCGAATGCTACTTAGGCTGCCACTACAAGTAGGTCATTTAAAATAATAACCTTAGACTTTAAAAATCCATAAAAACTTAATGATGCTTAAAGTTTAGAGCAGAGTAGTCATCAGGTTAAAATAACTTCATGCTTATGACATGCACAGTGATGGTTCCTTTCAGGTTTTTTGGTTGTTTTTTTTTTTTCTTTAAGATGGCACTGGTTGCAGTGATCTTCAGTTTTACGACACCGCTAACTGTCTTAGTATGGATATGGTTCCTTTCTGCCTACTATTTCAGTTTACTTGCAGACATAGTTAAGATAGCTCTTTGGAGTTGTGGAGTGTGCGTGTGTATATAGATGTGTGTGAATGTGTACGAAAATAATAAGACCTAAAGTGCCCTCCCCACATCATTAGTTTTTGCTGACCTGTATTTCAGTGTTACCAAGATTTTAAAGTGACCCAAGTATTGCTGTTGCAAATGTTTCCATGTTTGTCTAACTATTCTGATGAAATAAATAAAAAATCAAAACACTAAATGTTTTATTACTTGCCCTATAACTATATAGGCATTCCCTGTCTAATATCTGTTTCTTTTTTCAGGATTCACTGTATTTTTTTTTTTACCACATGAAATGGAAAGAGATTTCTGGCTTACTGTTGGCTTTTAATAGATGTTTTATCCTTGGGGAATTGCCCACCAATTAATTCATAGAGTTTGGAATTTAACTGAAGGACATTTTGCGTGCCCGTGTTCAAATATTGATGCTAACACGCCACCATACAGTTCATGTTCATAGCTTTATGGATACTTAAAGATAGGCAATAGTCTTATTTTTTAATAATGCTTAACCTTTTTCTCTTTGGCAAGAACAAGCAAGTCTGCCTGATTTTGTAGTACTTGCAGCTTTTCCTTAACATCAGACTCTAAAAAGGGGAGAACCAGTATCAGGTACACAGTTGGATGGTGATTTTTAAAATACTAAGCTGCATAACAGTCTCAGGAAGAACATGTGTGACTGGGCGTGAGAGTCTGTGGTACAGCATTACTAACATTTGCTAAAAAAAGTTTTGAAGAATGAAGCATTTGCTTTATGAACGGTACTTGAGGACGAATTCTGATGCTGCTAAAGTTTATTGAAAAATAGGCACTGATTTCAGTGATTATGCAGGTGTGATTTCTGTTCATGCCTTAAATCTGAAAAGAAGAGAAACCTGCATTTGAAGGAGGATTTTGTATGAAGGGTAATGTAACCTACTTTAAGAATGACTTTAAAATATTTGGAGCATCAGTTAAAGGCAAATAAGTAAAGTTTATCATATGCTGTGACTATTGAATACAGTCAGCAGTCCACCTCAGAACTTTTTGGTGTGCAACTGAAACATGTTAAGTTGTAAGACTTCACAGCCATGAGCTGATGGGCCACAGTTCTCTCCAAGCATAAAGCGCTGTAAATTTTAGTTTCTTGCACAGCAGTGACTCTTTTCAACATTAGTAACTATACAACAGGGTAAAAGGCAAATTTAGTGAATAATAATGTGTCGTTATCAGAGTAGCTGTTTGCATTTCACCATGATGCAGATGCTTTCTATAGCAGTTGTGTTGGCATGTGTCTTAGAATTCGGTTAATCCTCTCCTGAACTCATTTAAACTTCTGGCTTCAACTGCATCACTGACAATATGTTTCACAATAGAAAAATTATTTCCTTTAAAAAAAAAGGGGGGGGAGGAGAAGAAGAAGGGGTGGAGGAAGTGGGGATAAAAAGTCTGTTGTCTGCCAGTGCTGTAGGCTGCTCACTCATTTTTCTGTAGAACTCCTGGGTTTTTTTTGTTGTTGTTTTTCTACCTTAGCCTATTAGCCTATCCTCTGCACCTTTGGTCATTTCCTGAAGTTTGTCTGTAGTTTCCTACATTAGTAGGTAAATGTATCTATTTTACTTTACAGAGCTTTGATAGTTTTTAAATTATACAAGTAATTTAAATCTTGGAACAAATGTATTTGCTTATTGATTTTTGTGAGTAGCTGCAAAAATCTTATTTATTAGTTGCCCCTTTTAAAATTAAAATAAAAATTAAAGCTATGCAAGAAACATGTTGCAAGTAAATGTTAGGGTCTTACTACTGCTCAGTGTTAAGAGATTGTGGGAAGTGCAGAGAATTTGTGTTAAAAGTTATGGACATTTTTCAAGATAGTTTTCTAGGTCCGAGGCATACTGAAATATCTTTCATATGATAATGTGTTTAGTTTCATTGACTTCAGCAGAATACACAGAATACATTGACTTAAACTAGCTGAGAATCTGATGATAAGGTTTTATACTCTACCTAACATAGTGTTGTGATGACTTGTCCTCTGAGCTCAAAATTATATTTGATGATCTTAACAGGAGGCTGGATCTTTGATCTGGAAATTATGCTGATAGTGACGTTACAGAATCCACTCTTGTAACTTCACTGGTTTCTTGCAGCCCCTCAAGTCCATTAAGGACAATAAAGACCCATTGGTTTTTGTTATGGTGCTATAATCAGTGATGGAAGTATTACATTGTCAGTTGTAAGAAGTGGTTTAACTGCTGTTGGATTCTGCTTTTATGCCTGAAAAACCTGTTGATTTAAATGGGTTTGCACAGCTTATGCTAATGATATGGCTGGAATGAAACAGGGTCTTGTGTAGTCTGCAAGGACTGTATATGGTCATGGTTTATAGCTGGGTGGGAGGGGTTGGTTAAAGTTAC